GACACACTCATACAAACCCACTGCAAATAGACCTCTCTGCTGCGAGGTGCCGTGAGGCTATGCCGGTGATCTTTCAAATACCACCAAGGTGGACAGGGATTGCAGAGATTCTAGTCCAGCGGTTCTCAACCTGTGGGTCAAAACCCCTTTCACAGGGGTCGCCCGATGCAAAACAGTAGCAAAATGACAGTTATGAAGTAGCAACAAAAATAGTTTTATGGTTTTTTTTTGGGGGGGGGTTCACCACAACATGAGGTCGTGGCATTAGGAAGGTTGAGAACCACTGTTCTAGTCTAAGACGGACTAGGAAGAAAAGCCTGGTGATCCACGTCCAAAAATCAGCTCATGTAAACCTTCGGGATCCCAATAGGACCCTGTCTGACCTGCTTGTTTTGGACATGCCATCGAGAGGGGTTCATCGCGGGAGGGCGGCGACATCATGCTCGGACCAGCGAGGGTCCGTGTGATGGACTGACTCAGTGGTAGCGGCAATGGCCTTGGGCATGCCATGCATCGGCAACATGAGAGAGGACCCAGCAACATTTTGCTCTGCTGCACAAAGGCCACCGTGAGAACTGACAGATGGTGGCTCTCTCTACTTGTCTGTCTTATCCGTCTGGGGGTCCATAATCAAAGAAACAAGCTAGAGAACACACCCCGGGAAGTCCCGGCATGAGGGGACTCAAGAGTCCCCCAGAGCCTGAGGAGGAGGTCTCCACCCCCTGCGTGGGTCGGATGAATGGGGGCGGCTGCCCCCATGCTAGGACTCCTGGGCGCCATCACTCACCTTTCCCCTGCCCGCTCCCTTCGTAGGCAGGTAAATGGCTGGTGGGGGTGGTGAAATGTCAGCGGCAGGTATTTTCAGATCCTGTTTGTGTCCCCCCCAAACTGTTTAAAGAAATGCGATCGACAACCGGGCAGCATCCACATTAACATTTATTTGAAAAGGGCATCACCAAGGCTCACTGGGAACAGCACGACTAATGATCCTGAAGGATGACTTTACTAAGGGTTCTTCTTCCTACGCCGCCCTCCCCTTCCCCTTCCCTGTTTCTAAAATAAAACTCATTCAACTCCGTGAGTTTAAAATACAGAAAACTGCCACAGGCACTAGCTCTGTATTCACATATAAATACGTCAGCTATTCTATACAGAGGCCGGTGATTACACACTATCGTACATACATGCACACAGGCACAAACACACACACCTATGGCCAGTGTGTGCCTGAATGGGCCTAGACATGGGACAGTGGAGGAGTTGCAGCACTTGTGGGTTTAAAACGCTGCACAGGGTCCACCAGCCCGGAATCAACGGCCGTAGAGGAAAAGTTTAGGGGGGACAGTGACAGAAAGACGGGTGCTCAGAGCACAGATCACTGCTCTCACCCAGCAAGGGCAGAGTTGGAATTGCCGCCCTGCATCCTCCTGACCACCCTCAGGCCGTCTTCTCCCCAAGCCCAATTTGGGACAAAAGGTCATTTTAACCCGAAGACTGGCATTCGTGGGGTGAGGGGTCAACAAACTGCCCTAAACCTTTGCTGGAGATGTGGGGAGATGCCCTGTGTCAGCAAGACCCGGCTGCCAAGTCTGAGTGATGGGGAGTGTGCCACTCCCTAGGTCACCTGTCAACCTATGAGAAATGCTCATGCCATCAGCTCAGGGCCCGTTCTTGCCCACAGACCCTCTGGCCACTGTCTGACGGTGACCAACAACCGGGCAAAGAGGCTCCTGTCTCCAGGACTTTCCCAGCACAGGTGTACCCTCTGTGCCAGGTACGGAACCTGGGCAGTGAGATGGCAACTGAAAGCTGGGGGGTCCTGGGCACCCGGTGGTGGCGGCCAGAGATGGGCTTGCGAGCCCTTTCAGAACCCCCAGGAGAGTTGATTCTGGTTACATTGACATGTGTCCTATGGGACCCAGGACACCCAGGGAAAAGGACCCCTGGCCCTTCTTCAAACACTTTCGGGGTCCTGGGTCCCAGCTTTTCACCGCTCACCCATTAGTCGCTGGGGCTGGGGTTGGGGGAGCCAGCAGGCAGCGAGTGCCGGGGAAGTTTGCTCCTTCTCTTCAAACCTGCCCAGGCACCTTCTCTGGTGACAAGAAGGCACAACTGAATGTGGCTTTAAAGTGACAGGGAAATGGGCCCAGACCCAGGCCCCCAAGAGCCCCATGGCCAGGAGGACAGAAGGTGCCTACAGGATCCCACTGGAACGCCCTTCTGCCGGCCTGCTTCTCCCGCCCTCTCCCTCTGGCAACTGGGTCAGACCTCGCAGTCAGGTGCCCACACGACGAGAGTCCTCCGTTTCAGAGCGGTGGGTTGGAGTGGGTCCGTGGGCTCCTTGGGAATCACTTTAATGACAGAGAAGGGTCGCCAGAAAAGGGGTGCCGGCCTCCAGAAAGCCTGCTGCCAGGCGGGAGAGGGTTAGGAAGACAGGTGCTGGGGCACCCTCCCCACCTCTAGAGTCCACCAAACCCCACCTCACTCTCTGCCCGGCCTTGTGGTGGGCGGAAGAGACTGTTTATCTGCCGTTTCCTGTCCACTCAAGGGAAGCCTCGCCTGAACCTTTCTCATGCGGACACCTGCCTGGCAAGAAGCCCCGTTGGACGCAGGTCAGCAGGCATCCTGGCATCCTAGTGAGTGTAATCATGTCACACGGAAATGGATAAGAGGGTCCCCCTCCAAAATGCCAGTACCCCAGAGGAAACACCTCGAAGAGGAGGCTAGGGCTGACAAGGGGGAACAGCAGGTTGAGACATGGCAGAATGGGGACCCCTGAGCCTTTGTCTTCTAGTCCCAGGAGAGGGGCTCTGGAGACAGAGGTATCCGATTCTCATGCAGGATCCAGGGAAATGACTCCTCGGTCCCCGAACCAGGGACCCTGTGGGCAACGCTCAGGGTAGAATTGCTGTGGGTGGGCATTAGTCACATGGGTACTAGGAGGAAGCTGGGCCGCCCGCTCCTCAGAGTTCAGCAGGGGGTGCCAAGATGGCCAGGCATGCTCTTTGCTCAGGACCCGGATGATTTTCTTAAATGTTTGTTCCCTAACGTTAAGTTGGACAAAAGCTGACTTTCAGCAATATCCAGCTTGGTGTCTTAGGAATGGGCTGTCGAAGAGACATCCAGGATCATGCTTGCGGCATCCAGCTGGGTGTAGGCCGAAACCCAGAGTCCAGCCAGACGGCGGCGGGGGCAGCAGAGGATGGGGCATTCAGAGCCATGAGCTGCAGCCCTGAGGTCGGCACCAGAGGGACCAGCCTCCTCTTCAGAGTAGAAGCAGCAGGGACGAAGGTCGGAGATGGCCGCTGCCCAGGGAATCTGGTGCACAGAGAATGGGGAAATGCAAATGCTGTTTCCTTCTTCTTCCTGTTTTGGAAAAGACATCTGTCCTCACAGATGGTGCGTGATGACACTCTCACTAGGTATCCGCTCAGAGGGATGTCCCGGGACTGCCCCTCCTCAGCACACACGGCCCTCTGGACCGCATCCCACACCGCCAAACGTGTCCCCTACACGGAGATTCTTCTGGGTCAGAGAGACAACCCACCTCGCCTCTTTTCAGAAGGTGGCACTGCGGCCATTCTCAGTGCACTGGGACAGGGAGCCTGTCAGTTCCCAAGGGCTTGGACACAGTTTGAGGAGGTGGGAAGGCAGGCCTGCTGGGGTGTAGGGCACCGGCGTGGGCAGTGGCCGGCCCTCGATGGGAGGTTTTGCCAGAGAGGGCTCAGGGAGGGGAAAGGGCACCTGGAGGAGGGGGCTAGCCTCTGCTGGGCTTTGCCCCAGCTCCCCCTCTGCACATGCTGCTCACACCAAGACAGGCAGATGCCTGAGGGGACCATGGAATGCCCAGGGACCCAGCGCCACTCCCAGGCCACAAGCTGGGTCCTCTGGCAGAGACATCCCGGACACGCCCAATGACGAGTAAAGACATGGCCGCATCCTCAGGTGGTACAGCCTCTTTCCTCCGGCAGTATCTCTGACGTTCTTCAG